TGGTCTAAATATATATCGTGCCTAAACTTAGCACAAAATTGATTATGTCTTTGCTGTAACAATCCTTCTTGGCAATAAATCTTATATGGCTGGAAAAGCTGAAGTCAGAAGTTTGCTATTAAAAGGTATCCTTTAAATATCTATGGGTTCTGGTTCTGGTCTCATCCCTAATCATAAACCTTCATTATCATTACAGGGTGGCTGTCCCTCTCAGCATTGACGATATCTCTAAGTTTGGTGAGAGTTCCCGGGAGCTCTTCATTAAGTCCAGTAGCTACAGTGTTATTACTGTTGCTGTGATTGATTCTGGGCCAACTGTAAGCTGGATGTTTTCCTCCGAGCCCAAGAGCATCTCCTTCAGCGTGGTTTACCGGGAGTCCACGGACACTCCGGTGCAACAGTCAAAGGTACAGTTAACGTACGGTGAGCTCAGAAAATCTGTCTACCTTTTTTTATATAGCCTCTTGTGGGCCCTTAGAGTGCACGGTGTCTACACCTAAACACTGTGAGCATGTGTTGATGTGCACATCTTGTAAGTCTGCCACTGGCAGCGTCCAGAAAAGCAACTGTTGCAGATTGCATCATTTTAAATGGAAGGAAATCACAAACCTGAATGAAAGGCTTTCCGGTTGTTGCAAAACTCAAATACCCCACACTCACAGGTGACGATTTAAAAGCAGAAGTTATCACCAGACCCAGTGTGTGCTTTCATGGTCGCCCCTACAGAGAGCACGGTCTTTTTGCTTTATTTTTCAAACATTATTGACTGAAGAAAACCACTGCAGGAAGCCATTGTTGCTCAGCAGGGTGAGGTGCACATTCTTTACTTAAAATGTCAGAGGTTTTAAATGAGTCGTGACCTTTCATCTGGCGTTCTATCAACTCCCTCCGTTGTCGGTATATCCTGATGTTTGTTTGTTTGTTTTAATTTGATTCGGTTCAATTGTGATGACCGTTGTATTCTTTATTTATATTTGTTATGAAAACCTGCAGCAAATCTTTCACCTGTGCACTGAGATTATTTTTAAAGGCCTGTTTCTGTTCTGTTCTCAGGTCCTGATTCCTCTCACTCGCTGCGTTTCCCATAAAGAAACCATTCAAGGACAGCTGAAAGTTCGGCATCCTGGTCTCTACACCCTTATCTTTGACAACTCTTTCTCTCGGTAGGTCACGATAGTTTAGAACAGTTTGTTCCTCTTTTTTTGCAGAAGCGTGTAAATTGCAGAAATGTCATTATGTGTGCCAGCATTTGTGTTCGGCTTTTATGTAAATTTTTACATGTCTTTTCAACCAAAACTATTCTTCAACAGGTTTATCTCCAAGAAGGTTTTCTACCATCTGACCATGGAGAAGTCCATAATCTACGACGGCAGCGACTGCCCATGAACCTCTCACTCTGCCCCCGGAGACGTCATCCTGATGCCACTGTCAAACCTAAAGGAGAACTGACATTATGGCTTATCACTGACCACTTCCTCTTTTGTTTCCAAAGCCAAGTATATTATTCCAAAAAACGCTCTTTACCACTTTAACAGTGCGGTGTTGGTGTTTTGAGGTATGTTTATTGGTAAACTGTGGCCTATGCAATATCGTCAAGAAAGGTTTTAGAAGGAAAAATATCTATGCAACTTTTAGGGTATTTAAAAAACATACATGCAACAAGTAATATTCATGGCTTTAGTTCAAGTATATTTAGTTAATTAAGCTGGATTTTTGGGGGGGTTTTGCCAAGTTTGGTAGTCTAAGGTGTAGTTTTAGTTTTGCTTCTCTTTTAGCAAAAATGTTGTTGTGTTAAGGAACGAAGGTCACCGCAAGTAACACTAATATGCAACAAATACTTTACTATAAAAGTTGTCTATGAAGACAGAATGATTTTCTTTTTTTTTTTTTAAATACAATTTGTGGTTATTTTTAAATGTTTCGTGCAATCTTTATGGTGCAAACCATTGCTTCACTTTTTTGAACACTGTGGCAAGAAAGAAGCAAAGCAGAAATGTGTTTAGGGGCCTGGAAAAAGCAGTTACTGCTCCACAACATGCCATAAGCACTTTGTGCAAATCTCAGGAGTTAGAAATGCAATTGTCCTTTAGGGGATGCGTGCCCCATTTTACGTTTTTGGAAAATGTATTTTTAAAAAATAGAAGACTGCCATTTTGCTCTCTGTGTATCCAGGTTATGGAATAAGATGAAGTATATCTTCCTAAATCGTTTGTTTTACTTGCAAATTTTTATTTTAATTGTGTTGCTTTTATGAGTGAACTGCAGCATGGGGACGGGTAAGTCTTAAGAGGTACAAAAGAAAAGAGATTGAACTAAATTTATGCTGTTTCTTCTTTGTATCAGTATCCAGACTGAGTCTTTACATGACTCTAACTTTAAATATATTGCTGAGTAGTAACAGGCTACTGTACTTTCAAAGTGCCTTGTAATTCTAACTGTCAGGGATGTTTGATGTTCAAATGACACATTTTTAGTTTTGTTGTCAAAAGAACACATCATCTGGTATGAATTGATATCACTCTGTTAACTGATACTTAACTAACTTTCTGTGTGAGATGGCATCTAAGTCGTGTTCTGCACATTACACTATATTTTTTATTTTATCAGTGTAATTGTCTTTTTGCTTTTTTTCCCCTTATGAATCTCTGGAATCCTTTCATCTTTGCTCTGGATGATACATTTTTTCTTGTGATGAAGTAGGATATTCATTTCTGGGTTTTTTGTTTTTTTGTTTGTTTGTTTGTTTGTTTCTGAGCAAGGCAATAAGAAATAGCAACTTTGGTCACTTTTGAACACAGCCCTACGGTCTGGGTCAAGCAAGTATGCTGCTTTTTGTAGAGGCCTGTTTCCACTATAGTCAGGTCTCTTTTTATCAGCTTTGATGGTGTAATTGATGCAAAAACTATGCAAAGAAGGTGTTTTCTTTACAAAGCTGCACTTTGTGAAAAATATATTTAATTTGTTACAAATTAAATGAAAATCTGTTTTTATTATCTTTTTCAACAGTGCACACAGGGACAGATTTTTCTACTAGCTGGTTTTGAATGATTACTCTGGGGGAATAAATTGTGTGGTAACCAAAGCTACAGAGACTTGAGTGTAACTACAAGACCTGTCAAACAGCCTACAAACATGAATAAAATGAGAGAAATTATGTCTCTGCACTAATCTGTGTCTGATTTAGTATTTCAAGGGAACAAGATGAGCTCTTTAACGTGTTTCTTAACATTACATCCATGTATTTGCTACATTTGCTTTCTGTTGGATGACCTCTCTCTAAAGACAAAGTTTTTTTTCTGTGTTTGATGAGTAACTGAGTTCAAAAGCTGCTAGTTAGTTCCTCTGTTGTAAATCCTATATCCTCTATTCTGATATGGCTTTGCATAACAAAGAAACCACAGAGAGTGTTTTTCTCTGTTAAAGATGAAATACATCGCTCAAAAAAATTAAAGGAACTCTGAGTCATCACAGTTTTAATTCAATTCAATTTTATTTATACAGCACCAAATCACAACAGCAGTCGCCTCAAGGCGCTTTATATTGTACAGTAGATCGTACAATAATAGATGTTAGGAAGCAGATACCTATGCAGCTTTAGTCCTTATCTCTCTTGACTGTTTTTTTCTCTATTTTTGTCTTTTGATAATGTCACAGTGTAATTACTGGCTGCGTGAAATGGTACAGGCAGCCCATTCAGATTGCACAGGTATTTCAGATCCCACAGGATGGCCCTTCAATATCTGCCATCACAAGAAGCTTTGCTGAGTCTTCTAGCAGAGCCTCAAGAGTGTGGAGGAGATGTGAGGAGACAGGCTGTTACACTAGGAAAGCTGGGCAGGATGGTAGAAGGACATCAGCTAAGCAGTACAACCAATATCGACTCCTTTGTTAGAGAAGGAACATGAAGGGCAACGCCAGAGCCCTGCAAAGTTATTTCCAGCAGACTACACATGTCCATATTTCTGACCAAACTGTCAGAAATAGACTCTGCGGTATGACTTCCCATCCTTTACTGGGACCTGTATTACAGATGACAGCGAGTTCACACTGAGCATATGTGACAGACATGAAATAGTCTTGTGAAACGATGGCATCTCAAGACTCCCTGTAGAGGACCTTGGGCCCTCATATCTCCCTCAGAGACTCTGCGTCTGACAGTTTAGCCAGAAACATGTACAAGTGCCCCACTGGCAAACTCCTGTGCTAGTAGTCAGAGAAAGCCTTGCAATGGCACGTATGGATGTGCTATACTGGAGAAGTTGGATTTCCTGTGCAATGTAAATGGGCTGCAAGCACTATCTCATGCTAAATCTAGAGAAAAGATCAGGAGGGATGAGGAAAGATAGTCTTCTCGTTTCTTTTCTTTTTTGCAAGAAAACGTGAAACAAATAGAATAACCTTGAAGTTTAACTGACTTTGTGTTTATACTGTAAATATTAGAGCTTCCCTTGATTTTTTTATTTTATTTTATTTTATTTTTTAGCAATGTACAATTGCAATGTACTAATTTTTTTCTCTCTCAAAACAAAAAACCTTAAGACAGCTTGATATGAGACACGCTGTCCAACTACAGTACGCAAGTGATATTATCAAAGCACATATTTCTGCGTATTTGGCGACCCAGCCTGGCTCTTGAAGGCAGAGGAGCACAGCTCGAACTGCATCTGAGCTGTGAAGCTTGCAGCTGAAGCTAGGAACTGCTGCCGTTTTTCAAAATAAAAGACAAGAACGATACGGTCCAAATTCGCCACACGTACCTGATACAGGCCAGTCTCCCCTATTCCTGCATTATTGGCGTTGTTGTTGTTTTCATAGAGATGTGTGAAAAGTTGTTTATCCACAAGCATTACATAAGAGAAGCCCAGGGGGCGAGGCTTTTATTTTGAAAATGCATCCCGGAATCCCTACATTTATATTGTTGCCATTTTGATAAAAGTATTTACACCTGGAAAGAGCGCAGCATCCCGTCCTCTTGCTGGAGAGTGTCTCAGGAAAGCAGTTTAGACTCAGCGGAGAGAAACCTACTGAGCGGACGACATGTACAATGTCCGAGGGATTTTTCTCACTCTGTGTTTGGCTCCAGCTGTGAGTGTCTTTACTTTGACTGCATGCTGTTGCTTTTTTTTTTTTTTTTTTTTTTTTAAAGAAAAGTCATAATGAACTATTTTTATTAAGTAATAATGAGCTGAAAAGCTTATTAGTCGCCGAATTTCCAAAGATAATTCTAGTATTAAATAAATGTGTCTGAAGCAAAGCAGCAAGAAACCAGTGTAATTACACAGCTGAAGCGCATCAGCTCCAGGTCATGTTTTTAAACATTTTCTCTGACTGCATGATTTGGACTGCATTACTTAAAAGAAAAGCACATCGGTAACAAATCAATCCGCCTTTTTGAGCTTCTGTGTCTGTTTCCAGACAATTGTTCTTCACAGAGGTTTAAAGTATTTATTTTTCTGACGTGAATGTACACACTGATATACTGCGTTTCAGCTGCACACTGAAGGAGTTGAAATATTGTCACAATGTTAATGTACTGCTGTTGCTATAAGACTATAGATTACAGAGAGCATCACGGATTACAGTCAGGTACAGTTTTAGGTGCCTGATGCAAATATCATAGCAATGCATTGTATTTAGGCATGTAGACATGGTCAAGATGACCTGCTGAAGTTAAAGGCCAGCTTTAGAATGAGGAGCAAAGGTAATTTAAGTGTCTGAGGAAGCAGGGTTGTTGGTGCCTGATGGCTGGGTATGTTAGAAGCTGCTGATCTGCTGGTATTTTCTCACATATCAGTCTCTAGGGTTTACAGAAAATGGTCCAAAAACGAGAAAATATCCAGTGAGCAGCAGCTCCCTGGGTGAAAGACTCCCGTCAATGCCAAAGGTCAGAGGAGAATGGTCAGTTGAAGAAGAGGAAACTGAGGCTACAATTCGACAGCCTCTTTAAAATTGGACAACGGAAGATTGGAAAAACATTGGCTGGTCTGACGATTCTCGATTTCTGCGGCAGCATTTGGCATAAACAACAGGAGAGCATCCAGCCTTGTGTCAAACAGTACAGGCTCATGGTGATGATGCAATGGTGTGGCACACTTGGGGCCCCTACATAGCCTACCTGAGTATTGTTGCTGACCATGTCCATCCCGTTCTTGTTGCTTCCAGCAGGATAAAGCACCGTGTCACAAAGCTCAACTCAGGATGGTCTCCTGAACATGACAGTGAGTTCATTGCACTCAAATGGTCTCCACAGTCACTAGATCTCAATGCAGTAGAGAACCTTTGGGATATGGTGGAATGGGAGATTGTCATTGTAGATGTGCAGCTAACTAATCTGCAGCATATGTGCGATGTTATCATGACATCACACATTTTTGCCTCAACACAGAACTAGCAAGATGTAACTACTGAAGTGGCCAGTGAGTTTATATGTGCTTATGTGCGATTATGGGTTTAATATGGATAAGATGGAGGATTTCTGTGTATTTCTGTATATGAGTGGATGTTGTCCATGTATTTATGGGCGGGAAAGTCAAACCTTTTCTTTTTCCAAATGTGAATATTTGCCAGTTTTCTTAGTTTTCTCTGTCTTTGGTCTGCCACAAAATGCCACATTCTAGACTTGCTCAGCTTTTCCAAAATACAGGGTGGGCCATTTATATGGATA